ACTGCTTCATAATCCATACTCCAATAGCATACGCTCTGCAATCATGATGTCACCTTTTGGTATGCTCAAAAAAAATTTTTTTTTTACATTTTTTTTTTTTGTTTTGCAATATTAGTCACAGATTCTAGTTGCATATGAATTTGCACAATGTCACCTTATTGATAAGGGATAAGGTTTTGTTTGCTGCAAATCTGACAGATTTGAAATTTGCAGTCCCGGCAAATTTGTATGCAGATTCATCCAGAAGAAATCTTTTTTGAATAATACACTGTATAGCCTTTGAACTACAGCCAGCAGGCTTAGAAGGGCTGACAGAGAAAAGATTGGTTAAGCCAGCCCCCTCACTTTAAAAGAAGAGTACGATTTACGAAGCAGCCAAAGGTGGTTATTTACTAAAACTGGAGAGTGCAAAATCTGGTGCAGCTCTGCATAGAAACCAATCGGCTTCCAGGTTTTATTGCCAAAGCTTAATTGAACAATTATTATTATTATTATTATTATACAGGACTTATATAGCGCCGACAGTTTGCTCAGAGCTTTGCATTATGGAGGGAGACAGTACAGTAACAATACAGTTCAATACAAGAGGGATTAGAGGTCCTGCTCCTTGGAGCTTACAATCTAGGAGGGAGGGGATAGTGGTACAAGAGGTAATTAGCTGTGGGGGTGGAGTGGTAGGAGGAGTAGGGGATTCCAGTATTAGCTGGGGTCCGGGTAGGCTTCCTTGAAGAGATGGGTTTTCAGAGTGCGCCTAAAAGTGAGCAGAGTAGGCGACAGCCTGATAGCTTGGGGTAGGGAGTTCCAGATGATGGGTGAAGCCCTTGAGAAATCCTGGAGACGAGCATGGGAGGAGGAGACAAGGGAGCTAGAGAGTAGGAGGTCTTGTGAGGAGCGGAGAGTACGATTTGGGTGGTATTTAGAGACAAGGTCGGTGATGTAATTTGGGGCAGTGTTATGAATGGCTTTATACGTCAGTGTTAGTGTTTTGAATTTTATCTGTTGGGCAATGGGAAGCCAGTGGAGGGATTGGCAGAGAGTGGTGGCAGATACAGAACGGTTAGCAAGGTGAATGAGGCTGGCAGCAGCATTCATGATGGGACTGGAGTGGGGATAGCCTGTTATGAGGTAGGCCAGTGAGGAGGGAGTTACAGTACAATCTGAAGTTAGAAGCTGAATGGGTACCATGAATAGCTGCGCCAGATTCTGAGTGCTCCAATTTTAGTAAATATACCCCATAGTGTCAGTGAATTGGAAGTTATTGCATGGCAACATAGGGAAAGAAGACAAACTGCACATTTGGAGACATTAGGGTCAGTTAGGAAACTGTATTTTAAATCTGCTTTCTTTGGGCAATAAACCCCTTTTCTGCTTTATTTTTTGTCATTATTGGGGATTTTTAGTCTTTCATTTTATTTTGTGGTTAATTTGAGATTAGCACTCACTTTGTGTGGCTGTCCCGTTCACATCATTTTTGTCTTTTGCAAGGCTTCTGTTTCAGGGGTTTTAATTTGGGGCTTTCACCTATTTAGGAAATATATTGTTTTTATGTTGATAGGACTTTTATTTTAGGTTAAATTGCTTGGTTGTTTTTTTTTTACTGGCTTCCCTTTAACCACTTGCCCTCCTGAGGATTTACCCCCCTTAATGACCAGGCCTCTTTTTGCTACTTGGCACTGCACTAATTCAACTGATAATTGCGCGGGTCATGCAATGCTGCACCCAAACGAAATTTACGTCCTTTTTTCGCACAAATAGAGCTTTCTTTCGGTGGTATTTGATCACCTGTGCGCTTTTTATTTTTCATGCTATAAACAAAAAAACCCCCAAAATTTTGAATAAAAACTACATTTTTTACTTTAAGCTATAAAAAATATATAGTAAACTCAAAGTTAGTTACAAATTTAGGTCAAAATGTATTCTGCTACATGTTTTTGGTAAAAAAAATCCCAATAAGTGTATATTGATTGCTTTGTGTGAAAGTTATAGCATCTACAAACTATGGTATAGATACTTCAATTACGGCATTTTTTTGCTATACAGCGCTGCGCTAGTTTAACGGACAATTGTGCGGTCATGCAATACGGTACATAAATGAAATTCGTGTCCTTTTTTCACACAAATTGAGCTTTCTTTCGGAGGTATTTGATCGCCTGTGCGTTTTTGTATTTTTTGCGCTATAAAAAAAAAAGCTGACAATTTTGAGAAAAAAAAACAATATTTTGGACTTTTTGCTATAAAACATGTCCAGTAAAAAAAATGTAAAAATCAAATTTCGTCATAAATTTAAGCCAAAATGCATTCTGCGACATGTCTTTGCTAAAAAAAAACCCAAATACATGCAAATTAATTGGTTTACGTGAAAGTTATAGCGTTTACAAATAGCGGTAAAGATACTGGGATTTTTAATTTTTTTTTATACTAATAATGGCGGCGATCAGCGACTTATGGCGGCGATCAGTGACTTATGGCGGCGATCAGCGACTTATGGCGGGACTGCAGCGGACATTCTGATACTGGGGGGGGGGACTGACTTGGGGTCACTGACATCCCCAGTGACACCAACACAGTGATCAGTGCAAAAAAAAAAAAACACTGACACTGTACTAATGGCACTGGGGAATCAGGGGTTAACTTTTTATTTACTGAAAGGGTTAACTTTGTGAGGGGAGTGTTTTACTTGGGGGCGGGGGTGTGTACTGCACGAAGACACGCTGATCGGAATCTTCTCCAGCTCAGCATGTCAGGAGCTGACAGGGAACTGACAGAAAGCAGAGCTACTGCAGCCCTGCTCTCTGTCAGTGATTGCCGCTAATCGCCAGGACACAGCCAGTAACGACCGGCTGTGACCTGGCGACTGACAGGTAGGGCGGTGGCGCACCTCGTGCACGGCCCCCACTTGTTTTGCAAACACATTTTAAAACATGGTTTTGCCCAGCCGTGCCACCCTGTCAACGTATTTCTGCAGTGGCTGGGCGGCATGTGGTTAACCACTAGCCTACAGGGCACTTATACCCCCTTCCTGCCCAGGCCAATTTCCAGCTCTCAGTGCTGTCACACTTTGAATGACAATTGCGCGGTCATGCAACACTGTACCCATATGACATTTTTATCATTTTTTCTTGACAGACAGAGCTTTATTTTGGGGGTATTTAATCAACTCTGGGTTTATTTTTTCTTAAACAAACCACTGAAAATTTTGAAAAAAAAAAGTTTTCTTCTCAGTTTTTGTTATAACATTTTGTAAATAAGTGATTTTTCTCCTTCACTGATGTGTGCTAATGAGGCTGCACTGATGGACACTGATAGGTAGCACTGATGGGCATTGACAGGCATCACTGATGGGCACTGAAAGGCAGCACTTATATATGGCACTGATATATGACACTGATAGGCGGCACTGATATACAGTCAGGTCCATAAATATTGGGATATTGACACAATTCTAACATTTTTGGCTCTATACACCACCACAATGGATTTGAAATGAAAGGAACAAGATGTGCTTTAACTGCAGACTGTCAGCTTTAATTTGAGGGTATTTACATCCAAATCAGGTGAACGGTATAGGAATTACAACAGTTTGCATATGTGCATCCCACTTGTTAAGGGACCAAAAGTAATGGGACAGAATAATAATCATAAATCAAACTTTCACTTTTTAATACTTGGTTGAAAATCCTTTGCAGTCAATTACAGCCTGAAGTCTGGAACGCATAGACATCACCAGACGCTGGGTTTCATCCCTGGTGATGCTCTGCCAGGCCTCTACTGCAACCGTCTTCAGTTCCTGCTTGTTCTTGGGGCATTTTCCCTTCAGTTTTGTCTTCAGCAAGTGAAATGCATGCTCAATCGGATTCAGGTCAGGTGATTTACTTGGCCATTGCATAACATTCCACTTCTTTCCCTTAAAAAACTCTTTGGTTGCTTTTGCAGTATGCTTTGGGTCATTGTCCATCTGCACTGTGAAGCGGCATCCAATGAGTTGTGAAGCATTTGGCTGAATATGAGCAGATAATATTGCCCGAAACACTTCAGAATTCATCCTGCTGCTTTTGTCAGCAGTCACATCATCAATAAATACAAGAGAACCAGTTCCATTGGCAGCCATACATGCCCACGCCATGACACTACCACCGCCATGCTTCACTGATGAGGTGGTATGCTTAGGATCATGAGCAGTTCCTTTCCTTCTCCATACTCTTCTCTTCCCATCACTCTGGTACAAGTTGATCTTGGTCTCATCTGTCCATAGGATGTTGTTCCAGAACTGTGAAGGCTTTTTTAGATGTCGTTTGGCAAACTCTAATCTGGCCTTACTGTTTTTGAGGCTCACCAATGGTTTACATCTTGTGGTGAACCCTCTGTATTCACTCTGGTGAAGTCTTCTCTTGATTGTTGACTTTGACACACATACACCTACCTCCTGGAGAGTGTTCTTGATCTGGCCAACTGTTGTGAAGGGTGTTTTCTTCACCAGGGAAAGAATTCTTCGGTCATCCACCACAGTTGTTTTCCGTGGTCTTCTGGTGTTTCTGAGCTCACTGAAGCGTTCCTTCTTTTTAAGAATGTTACAAACAGTTGTTTTGGCCACGCCTAATGTTTTTGCTATCTCTCTGATGGGTTTATTTTGTTTTTTTCAGCCTAATGATGGCTTGCTTCACTGATAGTGACAGCTCTTTGGATCTCATCTTGAGAGTTGACAGCGACAGATTCCAAATGCAAATAGCACACTTGAAATTAACTCTGGACCTTTTATCTGCTCATTGTAATTGGGATAATGAGGGAATAACACACACCTGGCCATGGAACAGCTGAGAAGCCAATTGTCCCATTACTTTTGGTCCCTTAACAAGTGGGAGGCACATATGCAAACTGTTGTAATTCCTACACCGTTCACCTGATTTGGATGTAAATACCCTCAAATTAAAGCTGACAGTCTGCAGTTAAAGTGCATCTTGTTTGTTTAATTTAAAATCCATTTTGGTGGTGTATAGAGCCAAAAATTTTAGAATTGTGTCGATGTCCCAATATTTATGGACCTGACTGTATGACACTGATATATAGCACGGATAAGCGGCACTGATTGGCACTGTAAGGTGGCACTGACGGGCACTGATGCACACTGATAGGCGGCACTGACTGGCACTGATAGGCGGCACTGACTGGCACTGATAGGTGGCACTGATTGGCATTGATAGGTGGCACTGACTGGCACTGATGGGTGACACTGAAAGGCAGCTCAGATGGGCACTGATATGTGGCATTGATGTGGCACTGATGGGCACTGGCACGTGGCACTGTTCAGCACTGACACAAGGCACTGATGGACACTGACAGGTGGCACTTCTGGGGCCACACTGATTATCAGGGCACACTGTTCATCAGTGCCCTGATGATCAGTGTAGATGTCCCCTCCACAGAATGCCGATTACCGGCTCTCCTCTACTCTCGAGCTGCCAGCGTAACAGCTCGTGAGGAGAGAAATGCCGATAACCGACATTTCCCTGTTTACATGTGATCAGCTGTGATTGGATACAGCTGATCACATGACCGAGCCGACGTCTTCGGTTCTTTCCGTGGATCTGTGATCCGCTGTGTCCGAGGGACACATTGCACCTCCAATCGCCACGCTGTCCTCCCAAAACGAGAGAACCACCTTACGCCCGTCATTGGACTATATGGCGGGCGGGAGGTGGTTAAAAAGTGAGCTTATTTTTCACTGATGTCATTTTATAATTTTTTGTGGGGTTTTTAATTTTGTGAGAACTAGCATGAAACAGTAAAGTTTTAAAGGACAGTGCCACTTGCTTTTATTTTTCTTTTTAAGGGCTTTTCTTGCCCACGTCTATTAAAACAAAGTTCAACAAACTTCCAAAAAAGAAAATCAATGAGTTTCCCTCACAGGCATTTTCAGTATTTCCATCCAAAAAAATACATATTCAGCCTCCAGGCTTATACATGCAGCACTCCTCTGCTCTGGCCTTACCCTTTAGGCTCTTTGTCTGCCTCCCACAGACTGTCTTCATATACAGCTCTGTGCACATAATTTGCATCTCCTTACTGCTTTTGGCTCCCTAATGGAGCCCTCCTAACTCCTGGCATTGACCACTTCTGTCTGCTGGAGTGGAGCCCAGAACCATGGTCAGGTTACTACTAAAAGCCCAGCACAAACCTGACCAGTTGTATGCTAGCTTTTCACAAAACCTGAATCCAGGATTGGAGATTTCATCCCTCCCAGATCACTTTGACATCTGCAGGCTCCAGGCCAAAAAAGGAAACTTTACAAAACAATGAGGAAACTGAAAAGCCAGTTTTCTCTGCATTAAGCAAGCCCCCTGGAGCCCATCAACCTGCTCAGTTGAGAATGCTGGGTTTAACCTCTATTTAGACCCTGACAGAGTACCGCAGTGCTACAATTTTTATTATTTATTGATAAGGCTTTTTATACGCTTGGAATGCTCCAAGTGGAACATTTACTTGTTACTGGCCTTCTCTTCTGCATCATTTGAAGATAAAAAATAGTAAGTAAATAACAGTGTGCACCCAGACCCCCTCACATTATATCACTGCCATTCACATTTGTCAGACACCTGTTAGGCCCATTATCCCTAATTAAAACTGTCCTGCTACTGAGCAATTTAAGGGCTTCGGCACACTGGGCTTAAAAAAATGCTGCTTTTACTGGTGTTTGGTATTGTTTTTCTGTGTAGAAGTACCTCTATGTCAGCCTATGTGTCCATGCACACTTAGGTGTTCATAGGCATATTAGAAGAGTAGCATTTACAGGTAGAACAAAAAACCATTACCACCATGTATCAGAGAGCTTTTGGGCAGAAAAAATGTGGAACGAGCTTAATCGTGCCTAAACGCTAGGTGCATTTATGCACATTTGCGTGTTAATGCACTCTAGTGGCCTGAATAATTTAACATTTATTAATATAATAAAATGCATTGTTGTGCATACACACATAAACACACGTGAAATCTCAGAAGCTCATTCGCTTATATGGTGTTTTTAAAGCTGCTTTTCTCTTGCCAGAAGAAAAGGCATCCAGATAAGCTAAGCAAATACTCCCGTGCATGAAGCCTGCTGTATGCTCTTCAGTATCTTATTTCTTGTAGTACAAACTCAGCCTGTGCTCATTCTCTCTCTAGTAAATTTGGGCCTAGCCTTGCTATTTCAAATTGTCCTGCTGTTGGCCAGTTTTACATTGCTGTGTCATCAGTGGCGTACTAATTCATGTAGTAAAATCCCTGCCTGTTCTCTTATTTTCTCTTTTACATTTCTGCCAATTTTCCCTTAATCAAAATGTCCTGCTGCTGGCCAATTTTACACTACTGTAGCACTATCCCCTTAGGGATTGCTGATGAATTGGGTCCCCCTATAGTCCTGCACAGCCGGTCTTTCTGAATTTTCCACACAAGCTTGCATTCAGAGACAGAAAGCAGTCTTAGAGCATTGGTTTTGTAGTTTTAATAAGGGGATTAGCACTTGGATAGGGTAAGGGGGTATATGATGCCCAAGGGAACCGATATCTCATGACAACCTCCTGAGCTATTCACAAGCTTCTTCTTCTCTAATGCAGTCTCTGTTGGAGTGCTAGCCAGTATCTCCTAGTTGTACCACCCCTGACCCTAGATGAACTCCTCTTCATCCAGCAATCTGGAGACTTTTCCTGAGCAGGAGATCTTGCTCCTGTCCCTTTAAGTGGTGAACAGTCAGAACAGTCACTAGTAGGGGGCTAATCTGGTTTCCCACCAGAGTGCTCCTTCCCCTATTCACCCAGGGGGTGCAGGTGTACTCACTCGGATCCTCTCTTGTACGGCTTGCAGGTTGGATGCTGCTATCAGTCCTAACAGCTGGGTTGCTCTATCACTGCCCTAGAGGTGGTCCTCACTCAGGAGGCCAGTGAGCTCTAAGTTTTCCTCCCCTCCAACTCCAGGCTCACAGGCAGGCTCCATTCCACTAGGTCTCCTGGCAGCCTTCTTCCTCCAGCCTCACATCTTCCTCAAGTTCTCTTCACTCCACCCGACTCTCCCCACCCCTGTTACTGAGCAGGCTCTTACACTTTCAATAGAGTCCCAGCCCCTTGCCAAGCCTTGTGTTAGGGATTGGCTGAGGTCCCTCAAGACTGCAGCCACCCACTGCCTCCAATGCCCTCCTCCGAAAGCCTCAGAGCAGAGGGAAATTCCAGAGGGGGTGCTCTGCAGCCTTGACCACAATTCGACCCATCTGGCTATTACAACTGAGCTGCTTACAGCTCCTGTCTAACTATTAGGATCTAGTTCCCCCTAGCTAAACTAGGAGGGTGTTACACTACTATAATCAAGCTTCTCATTTGGAATTAGGTAAAAAACTGGTGGGTATTTTACTACATGAATTAAAAGACTGTGGATGGCAGCAGGAAGACAGTTTTGTATTAGCTAGAACAGGGATGGCCATAGTGAACTACTGGCTAATTTATATCCGCTGATCAAAGTGGGTCTATTAATATCTGTTGAATATGCATTTGTTGATGCTAAAGCATCTGGAAAACCTTTTTCGTACTGTAATTACTCAGATTTGATTGCTGTTGCTGGTAAGCCAAGCTAGTTGTAAGAGACAAAAATCAATTTCATAGCCAAATATGTGCCAGCAGTGTATGCTGTTGCTGACACTGTACATAAAACTCATACTGCGTAACACCACGTACAGAATAAGACATCCCCCAAATATGCTATTTCAGGAAATTATGTTTTTTAATTTGTTTTGCATTGGTACATGCCCCCCATGGCAGTGCCAAACTCCCTATACCTTTTTTGACAGTAGTTTACCTATTAACCCCAAAAATGTACAGGTTTTAACTACAAGATTTCCTCCATAGACATCAATGGGATTTGCTTCTACGTTAGGGTTAGATGAACTTTGAATGAGATTTGGTGAATCAATCCCAGATACATTTGCCCATCATTGGTCCATCAAAGCTGCCAATCATTGGTGTTGGCTTCCTTTCATAAATAAAAGATCAGTTGGATCAACCTAGCTAGTTTTTGAAGCAAATGCATCTGTAATGATTGAAATATTTTAAATATTTATGAAAATGCATTATAACAAAACGATCATAGCTGATGCAAGTTAGTGACTGAAAGCGTGTCTCCTTATTTGCAATTATCATTGTTTGGGTGTTTCCTCCTGATCAAAGAATTCTGATTGTTGGTATAATCCTTTTGGCATTGTCCAAAATGGCTATCAGGGTAAGCCTGGCAAGTCATTTTGTTGAGATTATTTTCCTACTTTTTTTATATTGATTTTTTTCTAATACAGAATGTAACAATGTGAACACTCAAGAGATGTTAGTTTGTTTCCTTATAACATTAGTAGCATAACTGAAAGCGACAGTTACATTCCCCTGGGGGTACAGTACTCTAATGGGAAATTGTTATGCTAATTATAAAATATGAAAGTATACTCACTTGTTTCTAGGGGCGTCCATATTGCTAAGCAACTGTTAAGGCTCAGGTAAAGGCCATCAAGCAGTTGCACCACAAGCTGATGGATTCACTGTCACTTTGCTGTGCTGTGATACTTTCTATGCTGTAAATAGGTCCAGATACAGTTACTGAAAACAAAGCTGTAACACATTTCCGCATACCAGTCCTCAGATGTGATGACTGCATTAGTTTACCCTGTTCACGCTTTTTTGTTCTCCCCGAGTTACACACTTATTTTATTTATTTATTACAGGTACTTATACAGCGCTGTCAATTTACGCAGTGCTTTACATATTACATATATATATATTGTACATTCACATAAGTCCCTAACCTTCCTTTCCTAGGGTTTCATTGCTCCCTGATTTCTTCACAACCACACCTGCCTAGCCTAAAACAACACATTACAACAAATGATTTTTTATAGTAAAGGCTAGAAAACATATCCTTTATTTTCCAGACATATCATACTATTTCCTTTGAGTCTCTTATTCAAACTTTCACTAGGGGAGTGCACATTAAGACTGAAAGCATTCTTCTTCCTTGGTTTCCATGGTCAGGGCCGGCAGTGTCTTCACACTGGGCTGTAGTCTGTTCACAGGATAGCACATGAACAGGTAACAATGTTGGGGCTTCATTGGACAATGCTAGAGTAAGGAGTAACTCCACAGAAGAATGGGAAGCAGTGATAATGGGACCAGGTAAAGAAGGAAGAAAGACAAAGAAAAAGAAGCATCTAATGCAAGTCTGGACCTCTGCAGCTGAAAAAATAGACTTCAATATCATTTTAAAAGTTTGTACTGCCATAGTCACTAATAAGATGCCCTGAAGGTACAAACATAGCACAGAGTACTGGATTAGGGTCTGACCAAAGTATGGTTACATATAATACCCCAACCCATAAAAACACCTAAAACAAATATCTCCTAATAGTCCTAATATGTGAAGCCCAAAGTAACTATCTACAACTGGGCCAGCATGATCCCATGTAGAATTAAACTTGGATCTAAAAAGCAGTGAACATTAGAAACACTCAGAAAAAGTATCTTCTAATTGATAATGTATGTTCCTTCTCTATGAGAGTAGAACACACGTCATGGATGAATTTATAAGTACAGCTGAATAAGTGTGCAAGCCTAAACATGTGTATGTTTTGCCAAAGGTAGCTTAATTATATACATACATATAAAGGAAATGTACATGGTTTCACATATTTTCAGTAACATCTGGACTTTGAAACAGCATTACAGTTAAAATGTTAATAAACCCAGGACCCTGCATTCACTATATCTGGTCTCCCACAGTACACAGAACATGGAAGCGCAATTATTTTAGTAAATATAAACTGCTAAATACCTTTTCTCATCAGCAGTTGGAGCAGTCTTGTGACTTCTATAAATGTCCAGCAGAGCACTGGATAAAGCTTGAAGGAGTAGTTTTTTTTCTCTTCTGGGAGGATGCAGGTCTCCTGACCTCTGACTGGACAGTGCTGATTGGCCCTGTGCTGATCACATTCACTCTCTCAAGAACACAAATAACCTCTCTAGCAATACACACCAAACTGAGCTTGTGCAGAGTGACTCCAAACCTCTGTTCTATCAGGAGATAGTTAGGGGACAATGGAAGAAGGGGAAGATCAGAGAAGAGAGGATCAATCTGCCTTTTACACAATGTGGAGAATTAACCCCTTAGGTTCCACAGTGAGTATAACAAGCATGCTTTACTGCATACAGACTGATTTTACTGTTGTGGGTTTAGTAACACTTTAACTATTTGACAGACATAGAATTAGTGCAATCTCAGGCTATACATTTCTTCAGCTGGCTGAACAACTTGTACTGGGAGTTCCCCAGTATCAGATGGTAAGGGACATAAAGACAGGATGTTAAGCATCTAGTGGCACAAGTCCAGTCCCCTGCTTGCTCACTGGCTCTTTCACCTGTAGCACTACCCCCTCAGGGCCCTAGTTGGTGCACATAAAGATTCAAATCTTCCTTAAGGCAAAGGTCGAAGTTCCTTCTTGGAGAGTGAAAAGGAGCTGACCCTTTAAGTGGCATTTAAATTTGGATGGTACCCCTTTAACTCCTGCAAGGTGAGATGTAGGATTAGGCAAGGATTAATAAATGGGCCAGACACACTTGTATAGGGATTAGTTCCTCTTTGGACCACAGTGGCAAACTGTGGCAATGAAGGAGCTCCTTGGCAAAGGAGGTCTGCTATGTTGAAAGCAATAGCACAACTTGGCCTGCAGAGGGCAAACACTGCTGTAGGGTCTTGTGATTGGATATGCTAAGAATGCAATAACTAGTAGGCTGGACAACTGGGCCTTAACACATGTAACTTGGAAAACAATGTCAGTCAAACTGGGTGGAAAGTAGCTGAATTGAGTAGTGTCATTTGAACCTAAATGGCTTGAAAGTGGAACTTTCTCATTTGATCTGCGATCTTGGTTAGGTAGCGGACAGTCTCGCTGTAGACAGGGGCCCCAGTGTTCTCGTGGTACCTCCTTCAGAGATCCAGGCAACAGCACTCCAGTCAGCCTGCTCACAGGGCTGTTCAGCAGACTCATCAGCAATGTCAGCGGTCAGCAATTCCTTATTTCTCCTGCACTCTCGGTGGCTTGGCCCGGCCTGGACCTCCAGCGTCTCGCACAGCCTCCTCCTCACACCTGATCTCCAGCTCTCCCATTCACTTCCTGCCCCCAGGTTCCTGGGCTTCTGTATTTATTGGCCTCCAACCACACGCCAGCTGCTCTGGGAAATGTTAGTTAGCTATCCATCAAACAGAAAAGTCCTGCAGTCAGCCTACAAATCTCACAAAGCTTTTCAACAGAGTCTGTACACTGCCATCTAGCATCCACTTAACATCATGCAACCAGTATTACAGCATGGTGTTACACACATTTGTTCAGTTTGCACAACTAGCCTGTTGCACCCCCTAGCCTTATCCTATATGTGACGTGATCCTGCCAACATGGTTACTACTCGGGAAACTTACTGCTGCTCAATGTTGGCATGCCCCAAAAGACAGTGAGACAGTAGAGGGCATACACGACCCCCAAGACTCAGCCCAATGTTAGAGATAGCCTAGGGTCTATTTTATATTAAGTGACCTTACCTGCCTGCAAGCTTTAGTTTAAAGCCTACTAGGCAGTACCCCCTCACCCTCTCATCTCCTCCACTGGATTAAGTTACCCAGAGGACACAGGTGAAGACTCAAAAGCAGTGGTAACATATAAACTTGAAGCATACAGAGGCTTGGTTAGAATCTAAACCAGGACTTTAGTTTGCCAAGGCGACATTCTCAACCACCATGTTATATAGAATGACCATTAAATATATAGTCAGCTTTTTTGCTAGCAATTTTATAATCAGTTTGGCAGAATGGTATAGTCGGTTACCTACAATAACTATATTGCTCATAATTTTAGTGATTCTCTTCTGTGTTGAACTGAATGCTCAGAACAAATGTACCTGTAATAGTGTGATGTGAAAACATAGGTTGGTGTATTGACCACAGGTCAGGAATGCTTACTTAGCCTTCCCCCACTAACATTCCACATTCTCCAGGCTTCACTATTGATTGGTTTGATGTTTTGGCTCATGGAGAAAGTTTATTTTTGGATTAGATATTGCGTATATCAACTTTTCCGGCTTTACACATTAACATGCCCTGGAATTTCTCAGTGACTGTAGCAGGTTAAGAAATTCCCTGTCATAGTGTAGAGGTAAAATATAACTTCAGTTTACAATATATGTACTATTGATCATTGTCAGACGGTTTGAACGTACTAAATAGACCTGAAAGGTAAATATTTAAAATGTCCTTCCTTTCTGCAAGATGTATTCTATATTCTATCTCAGAACAATTTATTTACAGAGTGATCTGGTAATAGGTTGAATGCATTTTATCTTGAGATCTTATTCTGACAGTGAATGTCAGTATAATGTCAGAATTGATTGGGGAATATATAAAAGCCCTGACAGCATTACGTTTTTTTAAACTGGCTTTTTACACTCTATGTATTGCATAATTTGAAATGAACTTGGTAGTAAACAGACTGCTTGTAGCTTGGTCCTACAGCAGCCTTTCTTAACCAGAGTTTTGTGCAAACCTAGGGTTCCTCCAGAGGTTCTTAGAGGTTCATATGTAAGACCAATGCCCTTTTTAGCTATCTGGAGCCATTTTTCCCACTGACCACCAATATAAGAAGTATTTTTTTCCCATTGACCACCAATGTAAGAACAAATCTTTCCACTGACAACCAATGTACCAAAGAGAAATTTTGACTTACCTGTAAATTTCATATCTTGGAGTACAGTACACGACACAGGCAAAGTATTTATAAATCCTGACTTATAGGCTTATACCTTCAGGCGATTGGACACTGGTAAAAAAGAGGGGAAGTGAAAAGAGATTCACAGAGAGTGGTTACATCATGGACAGAATGCGATACTCAAAGTAATTCCAAAAATGATGCTTTATTACACAGTACAAATGTGGACAAATGAGGTAAATACCATTCACCATCACCTCAGTATGAGATAATACAAAGACAGACCTTAAAAACATATAAAATCACACATCAAGACCGGTCTAAGTAGTAAGGTGCTGCAGATATAGTGACGATTGTCTAATACATTTGCAGCACCGACACAAAGGTTACACCGCCAGGCAGGAGGTATATAAAAAAATTGTACCAATATACAGTTGTGTTAAAAATAATAGCAGTGTGTTGAAAAAAGTGAATAAAGCTCAAAATCCTTCTAATAGCTTTTATTTCCATACACACAAATGCATTGGGAACACTACACATTCTATTCCAAATCAAAACATGAAGAAAAATATATCAAATTTGTGTTGTTCCTCTAAAAAAAAGTGAAGAAAAGTGAATATTAGACTGTTCAAAAAAAATAGCAGTGTTTGTATTTTTCTTTACAAACTCAAACATTCACTATATAAACTGAAAAATGTTTGAAGATTTTGCTTTCCTTTGAATCACTTAATGAATATTTAGTTGTATAAGCACTGTTTCTGAGAACTGCTGTACATCTGTGTTGCATGGAGTCAACCAACTTCTGGCACCTGTGAACAGGTATTCCAGCCCAGGATGATTGGACTACATTCCACAGTTCTTCTCTATTTCTTGGTTGGTTTTGCCTCAGAAACTGCATTTTTGATGTCACCCCACAAGTTTTCTATTGGATTAAGATCCGGGGATTGGGCTGGCCACTCCATAACGTCAATCTTGTTGGTCTGGAACCAAGATGTTGCACGTTTACTGGTGTGTTTGGGGTCATTGTCTTGTTGCCATTTCAAGGGCATTTCCTCTTCAGCATAAGGCAGCATGACCTCTTCAAGTATTCTGATGTATTCAAACTGATCCATGATCCCTGGTATGCGATAAATAGGCCCAACACCGTAGTATGAGAAACATCCCCATATCATGATGCTTGCGCAACCATGCTTCACTGTCTTCACAGTGTACTGTGGCTTGAATTCAGTGTTTGGGGGTCGTCTGACAAACTATCTCCGGCCACTAGACCCAAAAAGAACAATCTTACTTATATCAGTCCGCAAAATGTTGCGCAATTTCTCTTTAGGCCAGTCAATGTGCTCTTTGGCAAATTGTAACCTCTTCAGCACATGTCTTTTTTTCAACAGTGGGACTTTGCGGGGGCTTCTTGCAGATAGCTTGGCTTCACATAGGAGTCTTCTAATTGTAACAGTACTCACAGGTAACTTTACACCTTCTTTGATCTTCCTGGAGCTGATTGTTGGCTGAGTCCTTGCCATTTTGGCTATTCTTCTATCCATTCGAATGGTAGTTTTTCGCTTTCTTCCACGTCTTTCAGGTTTTGGTTGCCATTTTAAAGCATTTGCGATCATTTTAGCTGAGCAGCCTATCATTTTCTGCACTTCTTTATATGTTTTCTCCTCTCCAATCAACTTTTTAATCAAGGTACGCTGTTCTTCTGGACAATGTCTGGAACGACTTATTTTCCGCAGAATTTCAGAGAGAAATGTACTGTAACCAGAATGTACAACATTTGCTGCCTTCCTTCCTTAAATAAGGGCAATAATTGCCACCTGCTTTTCAAAGAATGAATGACCTCATTAATAGAACTCCACACTGCTATTATTTTGAACATGCCCCTTTCAATTAGTGATTCAATTACACAGAATCAGCAGCATGCATGTCATGACTGTTGGGTCTGTTGGATTTCTATAACTCTACTACACCTGCTAGTAAATTATTTGCCATGTAGAAATATAATTTCTACAACAAAACAGTGATTGATCAGGTTAGTGATGTCATCAGGTTAGTGATGTCTGACTGCTATTATTTTGAATACAACTGTAGGTATGGCATGCAGTGCTGTAAATGGCTGATAACAAGTACCACGTAATGGATATGATTGCCCATGGACCTAAATAGGTAGTGTGGGCTAAAATGCATTTAGATATATAGAGAGAGATACAGTTAGTCTCTATGGTGGCCAAATGAGGCAATATTGACAATGGATAATGGCAAATGTAGGTGGTAGAGTATCAAGCAGCAATATAAACGTCCATAATTATATATAGAATGAGCTGAATAAACAGTATACAGGTCACCATTTGGCTTTCTCAATGTAGATCTGGCAGGGCCCTGC